CAGAAGAACCTATGATGCTATACTGCGATAACCAGGCAGCCATCAATATTGCCCATAATCCAGTCCAGCATGACCGAACTAAGCACATTGAAGTAGATAGACATTTTATCAGAGAAAGGGTAACTTCTGGAGAAGTTTGTCTTCCATACATTTCTTCTGATTTGTAGCTTGTTGATGTTCTCACAAAAGGTGTTGCGAAGAATAAGCTGGAACATGATCTACGCAAGTTGGGAATGTGTGACATTTATTCCCAACTTGAGGGGGAGTTTTGAGTGGGTCGATTTATGTTTAGTTTGTTTTTTTTTAAATTAAGAAGTTGTTGGGCCTTGGGCCCATTAGTTTTTTATATTTAAAAGAATTGTAAGTACTTAGTTTGAGTTGCTGCCCTACTTGGGGCATCTTTGTAATATCTCATATTTAAGTTAATTGTAAATAGAATGAGGGGCTGGCGGCTAGGGTTATGAATCACTATCCTAGTCGACCTTCTTCTCCTTTTCTTCCCTTTCCTCTGTCTATTGCTGAAAACCCCAACTTTCTCCTCTTTCTTTCACAAGAAACTTGGCCGAATCAGCACATAAGGCTTTCTACTCAGATGAAACATACCACAAGCGACCCACTCACGAGTCTCCTCACCTGCAACCGTGCTTCCACCCTCCAAACCCTTTGCAACTTAGCTTGTATCTCTTTTATAGAAAAGAGGGATCACCTTCAAATTTGTCCACCAGGCACCTCCTTAGATATTGTTTTCTCAAATCGTCCCCCCAACTTTGTAACAATGTAGTCTGCAAATTTCCCCTCCATTCTCCAACTCCCTCCACTGGCCACCTCCGCATCTCTGCCGCCCCAGCAAAACTTCTACCCTCCACAACATGCGAATAGTATTCCTAGTTTGGTGTTCGCAAAACCCCTCCCCTTTTTCTTTGTGCCCACAGCCATGATGCCTAGGAGTCCATTCTCTAAACAACAATCACTCTGCTGTCTCTGGCATCACTTTGGCCAAAATCACTCTGGGATCAAACTTTTTGCATCTTGAAAAGCTAAGATTATTGAATCCCTCTTTCTTCTGCCATCACTACCACCCATGGCATCCCTCTTCATTTTTTTCCCCTAGGCAAACTTGGGGCTTTGTTGTGGGAGGGGGTGGAGAGTGAAGGCAGGACCCGTAGTTGACAGGTGCCCTTCAAGGCAACCAGGCACCCTTGGTTGGGCACCTAGCTTAAACACCGTAGTTTATATAAAAAAAATGTGTTTGCCTATGCAACAAAAGTCACTAGGTAGGCACCTTATTGTCATATTATTGCCATGGTTACATACTACTAAGTTAATACATCTTGTCATATGTATATTATATATGCCTTGGTTAAGGATTTTACAATTTAAAAGTTAAAACATAAAAGATCCATGGGTTTTCAGAAAAGAAAAAGAAAGAAGGATAAAGAGTTTTCGTCCTTTTAGTCTCCCTCCCTTTCTCTTTCACACACCCACACATTAAACAGAAAAAGACTCAAGCTCTTGATCTTGTTTCCTTTTCATTACTTTATTAGTAATATTATAGCCTTCTTTAGTTGCTAGTATATATTTTTTTGAAATGCAATTGCTTTATTAAACACTTATTATTGTTGTAGTATTGTGTTTGAAATATTAAGATTAATTGATTTAAAATGCTATTGTATTTTAATTATGATGGTTTGCCATGTTTTGTGAGGAAAGTTAATGTTAATATCAAGGAGTATTGCTATTTCTTCAATCTATATCCATGCTGATTGGTATATCAAATCAGGGAACTAGCCTAGAATTTAGTTTTTCCTTATTACAATCATATTTCTTAGGTGATATGGGGTTGATAAATGAGGCATGTGCCTTGTACTTTTGAAGAACAATTGACGAGGCATTTACAGTTCACCCGCCTGCCTTGGTTCTATAATTGAAGAACAAGTATGATTCTATAGTTTTAAGCCTTCTTCTGGAGACTATTATGTCATTTTCTTAAAAAAATGGAAATATTTCCTAAGATAAAACTATTGTTAATTTTAGCATTCATATTTTACTATCTAAAAACTAGTCTTTCATTTAATTGAAGTTGCACTATTTTTTTGGTGCCATACTGGAGTGAAAATAGGTAAAACTTTTGTGAAATTTGTGTGGTACCCCTACACGTTCCTGAAAACATTTTACCTGTTTTGGCAACAGTGGTTCATGGAACATCAGGAATGTGGCACACTTCTAGTGTTTAATAGCTTAATATTTACCATGAGACTCCATTGTCAAAAACAGATCTCATTGGGTGATGGATTGACCCCTGTTTAGCCTACTCATTTAGCATTGATAAAAGAGTTACTGTCCAGGATAACATTGATGTACACAATGTTATGAACTTATGAAGGATAAATTGATGTCCCCTATTATTCTATTTTGTTTGACAAAGCAATAGATATTGGTGTAATTTTTAAAGCTTGTTTTTTTTTTTAAATTCATATTATATATACTGATTGTAGAGATTTCAGTATGTCTCTATTACACAGGATTGGATATTGAGTTTTATGTTTCTTTTTTTATTTGATGGCAGATCATTGTTGGTGGCAAATGCAGGAGACTGCCGGGCAGTACTTTGTCGTCGTGGCAAAGCAATTGAGATGTCGAGGGATCACAAGCCAATTTGTATCCATGAGAGGAAGCGTATAGAAGCTTTAGGTGGATATGTCTATGATGGTTACCTCAATGGCCAGCTGAATGTTGCTCGTGCACTTGGGGACTGGCACATGGAAGGGATGAAGGGTCAGCATGGTGGACCTCTCAGTGCTGAGCCTGAGATGATGAGTACCATGTTGACAGAGGAGGATGAGTTCCTTATTATGGGCTGTGATGGGATTTGGGATGTATTTAGGAGCCAGAACGCAGTGGATTTTGCACGACGTAAGCTCCAGGAGCATAATGACCCTGTCATGTGCTGTAAAGAGCTGGTTGACGAGGCCTTGAAGAGGAAGAGTGGGGACAACTTGGCAGTAGTGATAGTCTGCTTCCACTCGAAACCACCACCAAGTCTGGTGGAGCCTCGGCGGAGAGTGCAGAGGAGCATATCTGCAGAGGGTCTGAGGGAACTGCAGAGCTTCTTGGATGATTTGGGTGGTAAGTGAGAAGGTATGCTAGAGGCTGTAGGTTTTAGTTAGTGATTAGGATTCTGAGATATTCTTCCAACTGTAACATATGCGGCAGCGACAAAATTTTTCTTGTTTCATTAAGGATTTGATTCTCTTGCATCATTTGGGCTTATGTCAAAAGAATTACAATGATATATTTGATAAGGAATTGCCTTTGTCATTTGTCCCAAACCTTTTATTTATTTATTTATTTTTTTACCCATGGAATCGTTGGTTGGACGTGAACTTGTGTGTCCATTGCCATTGCCCATCACAGTGACATTGACTGTTCAGTTGGGATGCAACCGGGTAATAAACCAAGAGCCACCCAACCCAGCTTGTTCGCCTTTTGTTTCTTTTGTCTTTTTCTTCTTTGATGGAGGAAGCGGGGCGGAAAAGATGGAAACTCAAAAACTGTTCTTGGACCTTGTGTTGATGAACCTTGCTCATGGATAGAAGGATTTGCAATTGCAGTTAGGAAGGTTGATGCAGTGATGCCCATATCTGGCTGTATGCGTTTGTATCCCTTCTCTTCCCTTGTTGACATGTTAAATCGAGGATCCTGCTTGGATTGATACTTGTTACTCGCCTCTATCTCTATGCAACTACATTATATTTATATATACAAGTTCAAGTTTGTTGAGGTGGATACTGGATGGAATATATATTTTATATAATTTAAGAGTACGTGTACGTCCGGCAACTAAAGCATGACCTAATTCACGTGTGGAGTCGTGGTTGACGGGTTGGCCCTGGAGCCTGGAGGGTCCAGGTGGGAAAAGCCAAACTTCTTTACGCCTCACTGATGGAGATGGATGGTGTGTGGGCAATTGCCTTTCTGATTCGCCTTGTCCTGTGAATAGATAGGTCAAGGCTGCTAGGCCCACCTGATCCCTGATAATTTCCTCTCTCTCCTTTTTCTTTTAATTGATATCATATGATCATGATACTCCTTTAAGAAATGCAACTGGTGGGTCCACCCATTTGGACGGTCCATATCAATGACCTGGGTCTTGCTGATGGACGCACAAGGCACAACAGCTGAGTTGGTCTTGGTCATGATCGGAGGCAAACACTACTTTTGCATTTATATAACAGATAATCGATAAATGAAATGACTATTGAGATGGTGCCTACTGCCTAAGGGCTAGGCCACTACTACTGGACCCTTACTCAATACCTGCTCATGGAATTATGGGCCCCCACTCCCCTAGGACTAAGCCACTAAGGAAGCATTTGTGTGTGTGTGTGTGTGAGAGAGAGCGAGAGCGAGAGAGAGAAGGGAGTAAATGAAGCAGTGTTATCTCAGCCTCGGGCCCTGGTTTAGTGTGGGCCGTGTGGGTACCTTAAAAAAGTCAGGAGCCCATTTCTCCCATGTCTTCTCATCGAGAGCTGGAGCCCTTGCTCGTTTCTTTAAAGCAACAGACCTGTCTTCACACTTCACATGATGGCCACCCCCATCTATGATGCCATCCATGAGTGACACGGTGCGATGTTCTGGATGATCATGGGGTCCCACATCCACAGTCAATAATTAGAGCCAGATGGGGGCAATCAGAGCCGTCCAGCTTTTATATCCACCGGAGATGATGGCATAGGGATTCCCTCGTATGATTGTTATTTGTTGGTGGGGACAGTTTCATCCAATTTGCTTCATTTAATTCTGTTTAGGCCAAGAGGGATTTGAGCGAGATAAAGATAACAATATTAATATAACCACAAATGCCTCCTCATGGAATTGAGAATCCACTTAGTCTTACACCATTCTTTTCATAATTCACAGACACAGCATCCCAATCAATGGCCCCGACTCTGAAAAGACTGAAATACCCCGAGGATCTACTGTCTAGCGTCTACTGAAACGGAAGGGTCTTTATTGGACGACCATGATCAGGGGTCGACAAATTTTGAATTATTAAGTTTTTCCCTCGCTTGACACGTGTGTTACACTTGACATGCCCAATGAGAGATCACAGCTTTTAGTTGTTTGTGTTGGGCCAGCTTTATTAATAACTTGGCTTTGTTCGCTCACGGTCCAGTCCATGGGGCCCATCAACACCCAGTGGTAATATATGTAATTTATAGAAGAAGATAGGGGCTTTCTCGTATTTTGAAATCTACCCCCCGAGACTCCATGCGGCAGACGACTCTTTTCTTTTTCTCTTCCTCTCTAATCTCTAACCTAATCATCTAATCCGATTCCAATTTTTTAATGTTTTTATTTGATTGGAGAGAAGCGTTTCCACTGTTTCCCGTTTCAAGCTTTTTCGCTTTTTCTTTCAGACTCCTGACGCCTGCTACTTCTACTATTACGCTTCTTCACCAACTCTCTCTCTCTCTCGCTCGCTCGCTCGCTTCCATTAGATTAGCAGTAGCTTCAGCTTCTCTCTTCCTCCACACCATATGGCTCGTCGCCGGGATTCCGCCTTACAACAAACCCCAAACCGCCATTACAAGCCTCCTCTGCAAACCATCTAATAACAACAAAGCACCTGTCTCGTCTCTTTTCACAGCTCTTTTTAATGGCATTGTCATCTATTTCTGGTTTCTTTGTCCTTTTCCTATCGTTGTTCTTGCTGGGTCGTCAGGTCTACTCCGAGCCGACACAAGATAAGCAAGCTCTCTTGGATTTCATCTCTCGCACCCCTCACGCCAATCGCCTTCAGTGGAACTCCTCTGCTTCTGCCTGCTCATGGGTCGGGGTCGAATGCGACGCTAACCAATCGCATGTCGTCATTCTCCGTCTCCCTGGTGTCGGCCTTATGGGTCAGATTTCCCCCAATACTCTCGGTCGGCTCTCTCAGCTGCGTGTTCTTAGTCTCCGCTCCAACCGTCTCTCCGGTGAGATCCCTGCCGATTTCTCTCAGTTGAAGCTATTGCGCAATCTTTACCTCCAGCACAATCTCTTCTCCGGTGAGTTCCCCGCTAGCCTTACTCAGCTGACTCGGCTCGTGCGTTTGGACCTCTCGTTCAATAATTTCACCGGGAAGATTCCATTTTCCGTCAACAACCTGACCCACTTGTCTGGACTGTTCCTGGAGAACAATGGGTTCGCTGGTAGCCTCCCCAGCATTAATCCCTCCGGTTTGGTCGACTTCAATGTGTCTAATAACAACCTCAATGGCTCCATCCCCGAAACTCTAGCGAAATTCCCGGCGTCGTCGTTCTCCGGCAATCTAAATCTGTGCGGCGGACCGTTGAACGCCTGCAATCCGTTTTTCGTCTCTCCGGCTCTGTCACCGACGTCGAATGTCCCAATAGTAGGAAAACGATCTAAGAAGCTCTCCACAGCGGCAATTATCGCGATTGCTGTTGGGGCGGGCATAATTCTTTTCCTCTTGCTTCTGATTCTTGTTCTCTGTTTGCGGAAGCGGCAGCGGCGGCCAAATGCCGCGAAGCCTCCGAAGTCTGCACCTCGGTCGGTGGTTACAGAGGTGGGCACTTCGTCATCGAAGGACGATGTGGCAGGTGGAGTGGCGGAAGCCGAGAGAAACAAGCTAGTGTTCTTCGATGGCGGGGCTTATAATTTCGACCTGGAGGATCTGCTGAGAGCTTCCGCGGAGGTTTTGGGGAAGGGAAGTGTCGGTACTTCATATAAAGCGGTTCTGGAGGAAGGGACGACTGTGGTGGTGAAGAGACTCAAGGATGTCGCAGTACAAAAGAAGGAATTCGAGATGCAGATGGAGTTGCTGGGGAAGATTAAGCACGAAAATGCGGTTCCTCTGAGGGCTTTTTACTACTCGAAGGACGAGAAGCTACTTGTCTACGATTACATGCCGGCCGGAAGCTTGTCTGCTCTTCTGCACGGTACGATTCTTTTTCTTTTTTAAGTCGGATTCCTTCTCTTTCTCTTGCTTATCTCTGGCGAACGGTATGGAAGCTCGAGCTGTTACAGTAATGGAAATTCCTCTTTTTCATTTTTTAATTTTTATTAATTATTAAAATGAAAAAAGTGGCATTTCGAAAATTGAACCAATAAAAGAATCTCTCTAAACCAGCGCAGTGTGCGCAGATATTATCCGAAATTTTCTCTGAGAAAAATTCGAGTATTCTTGCTTGATTCGAACCCATAGAATAGTGCCAAGAAAATTCGCACTTCGGCGTACGCTTTGGAATGTGCCATTGTGCGCTCAATTTAGAGAAAGAATTAACCTGATTTCCTTGTTATATTTACCTTTTCTGCCACTCACATACCCTGACTTGAAACTCCACCGACCAACATTACTCATGCTCTCTCCTCATTTCCCGTTTTACCGCTGGACAAAAATTGTAATTAAGTCTGTGTTTTGGTGGTGATTTTACAGGAAGCAGAGGTTCGGGCCGTACGCCACTGGACTGGGATAACCGGATGAAGATAGCGCTAAGTGCCGGGCGTGGGCTTGCTCATCTACACGTGTCGGGAAAAATCGTGCATGGCAACATCAAAGCGTCCAACATTCTTCTCCGGTCCGACCTGGGCGCATGTATCGCGGACTTCGGACTGAATCCAGTATTCGGGGGGTCCACGCCTCCTAACCGAGTGGCGGGCTACCGTGCACCGGAGGTGGTGGAAACCCGGAAGGTGACGTTTAAGTCGGACGTGTATAGCTTCGGTGTATTGTTACTGGAGCTGTTGACGGGGAAGGCCCCGAATCAGGCATCGTTTGGTGAGGAAGGGATTGATTTGCCTAGGTGGGTCCAGTCAGTGGTGAGAGAAGAATGGACGGCTGAGGTATTCGATGTGGAGCTGACGAGATATCAGAATATAGAGGAAGAGATGGTGCAGCTGCTGCAGATAGCCATGGCCTGTGTGTCGACTGTGCCTGATCAACGGCCTGATATTCAGGTAGTAGTGCGGATGATGGAGGATATTAATCGGACGGAGACGGATGATGGTTTACGGCAGTCGTCTGATGACCCGTCAAAGGGATCAGATGGCCAGACTCCTCCCACGGAGTCACGAACTCCTCCGGATGTTGCCACACCTTAGTGGATGATTTGTTCTTATTATCCCGTGGTTGTTGCTCCCGGCACCTAATTTAGGAGGAGGGTTGAAGACTTGAAGAAAAATAGAGGAACTGGGTAGATAACCTACCGTAAGTTGAACGACCCGCCATGTTTTCTTTTTTTTTTTTATTTAATTGTTTTGTGATTTTTATAGAATTGGAATGAATTATTTTTATGGTTGGAAGTCGACCAATTTGATGGATTTTATGTTTGTTTTATATAAAAGAATTTTCTTTCATGGGATGTCAGCTGTAATCCAAGTTCAATCTTTGTTATTTGTGAAATGTGAGTTTTTAATCGAAATTTAGAGTTGTTAGTGATTGGTGGGGAATGGGGATGGAAAGTCGAGGGAAAAGTATATAAAATTGAGAAGAAGTTTGTCCTGTGGATTCATTAATTATCTTTAGCTTACGGGAAGAAAAAGTATGATTTTTCTGAAGGTGTCTCGCTTTTGTTTTTGTTGTTTTGTGTGTGTGTTTGGTTCAGAGTGGTGAGAGAGTCTGAGTGAGTGGTCAAGTTGTTAATGCGGATGCAGAACAAACACCCAGACCCGGGCCCAGGACCATGGGGGTTAATTAATGGGTCGCCGTGAGATATAGAAGCAACTGAAGCTGTTTTGGCTGTTGTACTGTACTTTTGTACCCTTATTTTATGGAAGAGGGAGAGAAATTGAAATTGAATTTGGTTGTAGGGAGCATGGTTTTCAAAACCGGACCGGATCGGAAAAACCGGGAACCGGTCACTTGGTCCGTTTTTCCCCAAAACCATTTTTTCCATCAAAACCGTTGATTTTGGTCAGTAAACCGTTGAACCGGCCGGTTAACCATTCGAACGGTTTTGACCGTTCTCTAATTTTTTATTTTTTTGTCAAAATGGGCTGGTCGTTCGGGTCAAACGGTTAGACCGTTCGAATCGGTAACCGGACCCTGACCGGTTCGTTTTTAAAAATCTTGGTAGGGAGTGGGATGGGTAGGTTGGCATAGCGGGCGAGATCGGATCTGCTCCTCACACCTAGTGCCTCACACGCACATCCTATCATGCATTGGGAACATCTCTCGTATTTATTAGTTATAATTCACGGGAGAAGTTCCTAATGCGAGACCGGATCTGCTCCTCACACCTGGTGCCTCAATGCACATCGTACCATGCATTGGGAACATCTCCCATACTTATTAATTATTATTCATGGGAGATGTTCCCATTGCACGGTGGACATGCATGTGAGGCGCCCTTTTGTGAGGAACAGATCCCGTCTCTCCTGATGCACGGTGGATGTGCTTGTGAGGAGTAGATCCCATCACATGGCGGGCGTGGGTATTTAGACAATGAATGAAAATGTTGGTGCTCAACTGAGACCGGATCTGCTTCTCACACAGGGCACTTCACAAGCATATTTCATCATACATTGGGAACATTTTCAGTACTTATATGCTATTATTCACGGGAGATATTCCAAATGCATGGTGAGATATGCCTGTGAGATCAGTGTGAGGAGCAGATCCCAATTCTGCCCAACCAATGGGGGGCTGACTTATTGGTGTATTAATTGGTTTGTTTTAACATTAACTTGGAATGAAATCCCACAACAGCACTTTTAGGAAAAAGGGTAAGGGTGAAGTTATAATACCAAAAAAAAAAAATGTTGGTGATCATTCACTTCACAACGGTAATTTGTTTGGGCTGGGAAGGCGTGGCACCGCACTATTGTCTTTTGGTACCTCCCAAGCAATGTAATGTGATTAGAAGTTTTTGTCGTCTCCACTTTCCACCTCCATTAGAGGAGATCGGCTTAGTTAGTGCAAGCCCGTGCTCACACCATTCTAATAGTCTCTCCCAGTCTTATATCGGGATATGAAATAAAGCATAGAAGTATTTTCAATGCAAGGCTGTAAAGGTTATTTGAACAAGTTTTTCACAAACTGAATATCTCCCACTACCCCAATAATATATCCCAACCATGTATTGGGAATAGGAGCAGCAATGAGTTGAGCTTTTCACGAGTTGTTCAAGTTCGGCTCGGCTTGATTTAATAAAATTATAAAAAATAATATATATATATAATAAAAATATTATAATTCTTAATTTTTTAAATATCAAATAAAAATATTTTTATATATATATTTTTTTTCAAAATCGAGTTCGAGTCGAACCGAACTCGAACTCAAGGTTCTGACTCGAACTGAGCTTGAGCCTTGTAAAACAGTCTCGAGCTGAACTCAAACCTAATACTATTCAGCTAGGCTCGGCTCGAATCCACCCCTAATTGAAATTAGGAACATCTCCCCGGCAACTTGGAATTGAAAGAGCTTGGGTCTTGGGGTCTGTTTGGATGGTTTCTTTTTTTATTGAAGGAGCCGGAGAATCCTCCACTGACGATGGAGTTAGGAGACGTGGGAGACAGCTTAGCTTTTACCAGCTCTCCAGTCCTCTCTCTCTCTGTGGACCGCCAATCGCCATCTACCAAACCAAAAACAGTAAACAGACCAGACTTTGGAGTTGACTGACAGATTTGCCAGCCACGCATCCACCTAGGACGGGGCCCACCCACCTCTGAGCACGAGAGGGACGATTCCTTCCTGAGTTCCTTGAGGAGCGTGGCTGAGGCTGACTGACCGTCTCCTCTCCTGCCTCGTGGTGAACTGAAATCTCCCCCCACCCAAACTTGCTATCAACTATTGTATATCTTCATGGCTCAGATTTACCTAAGCATAACTCAATTACTGAAACAATGAAACAACGGAACTATTTTTGAAATGACGGAATTGCCCTCGAACTCGGACGTTGACAGGTTAAAACCTTTTTAATAAAGGTTGGAGCTAGCAAAACAGGCAGGTGAGGTGGGTCACTTTCACTCTTTGAGTGGAAGGGTTAGGGTTTTTGTGTTAATTGGTAAAAGAAACAAACCCTTTTTGTTAGTCTGGCTTAAGTTTTGTCTTAATCTTAATTAATTAGATATAAATAGCATTAGAGCAATAAGCAATGTGATGCCATAAAACTGAGAGAGAGAGAGAGAGAGAAATGTAATTAGAAAGCATGTGATGTAATTATGTAATGCTTGTCCATTGCATTTGACCTGGTGTGGTGTGTCCATTTTAGAAGAAGAGATGTAACTGGTTTTGTTGTTCTACTAATTTAGTAGTTCGCTACTTAATTGATCTTCTGTTTCTCTTTATACTAACATCACTTGTAGATGTGGACTAATTAGCCATTTATTTATTAGGGTTCTTCATGGTAATGGACTAATGGCAGCAACAAAGTATTACCGTTCCAGTTGGCAACAACTCTCTTGTCTACCTCTTCCATAAGAGCTATGGCTTTCACTCACAGTGCTGTTTTTTCAATGGCCACTTCTTCCAATTTGGTGTCAGTTGGGTGCCATTAGTCACCAAGATGAAAATGTTATTTTCATTCTAACAAGTTTCAAAATGAAAAGTTGTTTTCAAATAATTTGAAAAATATTCAATCAAACAAGAGAGAGAACAAAACACCTACATGACATTGATGTGGAGGAAACGCTTTCAACAAATGACCCCCATGTCAAATACTACCAAACGGGTTATCATTGATCTCACTGATTTTACCTTCACTTATACACAATATTCTCAACATGTGATTCAACCACTTGGTTGGACTGAATGACCCATCAGATGGATAGGTTTCAGGTTTCATTGGGGAGACCAGATTCAATTCTCACAAAATTTGTCCTCACACCACTTACTGCTGTGCATTTCAAGCATTTCCATACTCACATTTTCTCATTCACCCAACGCAGGGCTGCAAGTGTTGTTGAGAACGGTGTGAGGACAAATTTTGTGAGGATTGAATTCGGAATCTTGATTGGGCCCATACCTGGCTAACTGAGCCACTTAATTGTTTGACTTGGTCAGTGGGTCATATGTACAATATTTGCTACTACACTGTTACAGCATAAAAATAATCAAAGCCATTGATGTATTGATGCAGCCCCCACCTTGAATTTGAATTAGATGAAGTGACATATTGGTGAGGCCACAATAATAAATCTAGCATTAATTTTCAATTTTAGCCTTGTGCTACATGTCCTAGCAAAAGTAAACTCTAGGCTTTAATTTTTTTTTCATTTTTTGGTTATTTTCATCATTTTAATAAGAACTTTAATGATTTTTATCATAAATGATTAATTCTGATTTATCAAATTATTTTATTTAATATGATAAATATATACTATTAAAAGCATACTTAATTTTTCTGCAATCTTATACATTTTTTGCATTTGTTTTTTTTATATATTTTATTATTTGATTTATGACATCATTGATCGACCTTTTTGAACCACTAACCTACCATCCAGAAAACAATAATTTTGTTTCTATTTTTTTTTTTTAACATTGCCTAAGGCTATATTTGGTTTGAAGGAAAAGATAGGGAAACCTATATTAGGTTTGCAAAGGTTTCTGTAACTTTCCCTACTTTTTTCCTTTAAACCAAATACAGCCTAAAATCCTTGTCTTCTTACGTTATGTTTGGTTTGAAGGAAAAAATAGAGAAAGGAAGGAAAAGGTAGGGTAGGGAAACCTATATACAAATCTTGTATAGATTTCCCTATCTTTCCCTTTCTTTCCCTACATTTTAACATAGCCTTAAAGTTAACCTATCACCACCTAGTGGCCCAAGAGAGTAGGGCTGTAATCGAGTCGGATTCAGATCAAACTCAGCCACTTTCGAGTGTGATCCAATGATTGAAAACACAAATCTGAAGCAGATTGATTTATGGGTTTCATACAGGATTTGGATTCTATTGAATTTTAGTTTTGATCTGAGTTTGTTTTACTATCTTAAAAAAAAAAACATTAAACTATTATGAATTAATTAATTATTCTTTGACTTATAAAATGTAAAACAATTGATTTATCAATCAATAAACTTTTTATAATGGTGTTGGACTTGATTCTTGATTGGATCAAGCAGGATTGGGCCCGCATCCAATCCGATTATTAAATGGATGTAATTTTTTTTTTTTAAATCCTAATTCAATCCGGATCATCTAAATCTAAATTGGGTCTTGGACTTTGGAACTCCATTGACAGCACTATGAAGGCCCTATTTGAAAAAAGAAGCAGGCATCCATAACATGGATACATGTAATTCAAGCATTGGTGAAAGTACTTTTTTGCTTCATAAAGCATTGGTGAAAGTAGATATCTATTCATATTTCCCAGAGTATAGAATAAATTATTTTATCTTCTTTTAACAACAAGCATGTACACAATATTGCCTTTTTCCGTGGTGATGGATATTGT